TCTCAACCTTCTTTTACCAAACTTTCAAAACAAAAATAAGCCTCATCTCGATTATCACCATTGACAATTAAGTAGTAGGGGTTAAGATTCTTGTCTTCTAATTTTTTGATTTCAAAATTATTTAATTTAATAGTTGCCATTATATTCATTCAGTGTATATTAATTATTTTATTACTATTTTTAAGTTAGCGGTTAGGTTATTGCTTAATTTTATTTTTATTAGGTTTTCGCCTAGTTTATTGAGCGGATGAAAGTCCGATAGTTGACCCTTTTGACAGTGAAAATCTAATTTTTCCAATTCAGTCGAAATTTCTTTAAATCCAATCGAGCCGAATGGTTTACCTTCCTCATTTTTTTTAAGGGTAAAAAATAAAGCGGTATTATTAATTTTATCATATATTTTTTTAGCCCTTTCTTCCATCATTAAATCTTCTTGGGTTTTTTTGGCTTTTTTTCCTTCTAACCAAGCATGGTTTTTTTCATTAGCTAGCAAAACTTCTTTTCGAAGTAATAAGTAAGTCGCAAATCCCCGTCGCACTTCTTTTATTTCATATTTTTCCCCTCATTGATTTTTGTTTAAAAAAATAACTTTTTCGGTTTTTTTCATTTTATTATAATTTTTTTGGTCGTTTCCGCAATTTATAACGGTCAACCATAGGTTGGAAAAGATTTCCTAAAATGCTTACTAAAGCTAAACTACCCACAAGAACTAGGGGAACAATGAGAGAAATTTTTAAACTGCCTAGGGAGAAAATTTTCATCCGATATCAAGGAACAGAGTTTTTTGGTTGAGAACTTCCGCTTTCTTCTAAGCCTGGAAAAATAAAGGCGCTAGCAATCGTTGCAATAATCACTAATAAAATTCCACCTAATCATCACTTGATTCAAAAACTTTTATTAGCAGCAATTTCGACTTGTCATTGGTCGTAGCACCAGGCACACTGAGCTCAACTTTCGGAGGCATGAGTGCTACCATAAGTTCCCCCATAACCTCCCGCTTGATAATCACCAAAACTCTTTCCTCCATAGGCACCTCTAGCATGACCAGAACTTTGACTTTTGGAACTAGTATAAATTGGTTCGCCTTCGTAGATTGGTGTGCGACAGGTTTGACAACTGTTTATAATTCTTCTTTCTTGAGCGTTTAGCATATATGCAGGTTATTTTCTAATTTCCTCATTTTGTTCAACTATTGTGTAAGGCAAAAGTGCCATTTGACGAGCTCTTTTGATAGCTTTAGTTAGTTGTCGCTGAGTTTTGGCTACTAATTGGGTGTTTTGGTGATGACTAATTCGCCCTTGTTTATTAATAAACTTGCGTAAAGTAACCACATCTTTGTAATCAATGTAGGAAATTCCTTGACTCAGAAAATAGTCCGTTTTGGGACTAATTTTTCTTTTTTTGCCTTTTTTTATTTTAGTTTTGTCTAAACTATTCTTCGCCATTCTTTAATATTTTTCTTGATTATCAACTTTTTTGTCCTCTCTGGGTTTAGTAAAATCAATCACTTTTAATTTAGTCTCTCCAATTACGCGTGGAAATCCAGCCAACGAATAAAAATTAGAAGTTAAATCACTGTCAATTAAAGTAAAGGCTTGGACAATAATGTGGGAAGGTCGGGATATTTCAGTTTTCTCCTCCCCATCTTTCCAAATCTTATTAACTACAATTTTAGTTTGCAAAGAACCTTCTAAGAGAATGATATCGTGTTCTTTTAACTGCTCTTTAACTTTTGCTAATATTCCTGCTACTTTTTCTTCATCTACCACACAAAAGTAAAGCGGAGGGATACTACTCTTGTCGGAGAATTTCTGAGAACCTACTTCTCGGGGAACAGAGATTCTGAAATTTATCTTTCCTTGATTATCATTCTGACTATCAATGTTAGTGATTATTTTGCCAATTAGTCGTAGATAATTAGAATTTTTTCGATCAATCTGCTCAAAACTTATATTTAGTTTATTGATTTCTCTGACATTAATTATTATTTGTCGACCTTTAATTTCGTTACGTAAGTAACCTTGCACTTCAATTATATCTTTCTCCGCAATTCCTTGTTCAATTTTTTCTACTACTTCTTGTTTGGTGGCAAGACAGCGCAGAATGGTTTCTGAATTATTGTTGGGTCTGGGAACTTTTAAATTAAAATAAATAATCTTTTCTTTCCTTTCTCCATCTTTGTTATCTCTTTCTTTTATTTCTGGTGGCAAAAATTCGCCTATTACTTTAATTTTATTTAGCATCTTTATTTGGTTGCAACTTGTCAGTTTTCTTTATTAATTTAATTTTATTCCTTTTTTCATCAGTTAAGTTAAGTAATTCGTAACGGTTAAGAATTTCCTTAGAAACAGGTTGAAGAATATTTTTTTTTAATTCTTCGGCTTTTTTCCTTTCTGAATTGAAATAAACGAGGACATAACTACCCCTATCTAATTTTTTAACCTTTTCAACAGGCTTTCAATCTTTTTCTTCCACTTTTACATTTTCTTTTCCTATCACATCTTCAATACTAGCAATCATTTTTTTGTATTTTTCCTTATTTTTCTCCTTTTCGTTAAAGAGACAAAGTAATTCGTAATGGCAATTTACTTTCTTTTTCGTCATAGAAACATCTATAATTTATTTTACATATACAGTCAAACTAACACCCCCTAAACTTATCACCTACAAAATATTATTAATATATATCTTATTTGGAATGTCTTCCTCTTCTACTGTATTTACTAAACCGGTTCTTAAAATAAAAAAACAAAGTAAAATAAAACTACTCTTTTTGGTCTTGGGGAGAGTTATTAAAAATAATCCCTTACTATTTTTTTTCTGTTCCTTACTAGCGGTAATTACTGCTTTAATTAACTTTAACATTGGCGTTAATATTAAAAATTTATTGCTTCATAAAGAAAAAACCCTAAGCGAACAGGTTATTAAAGAAGTAGAAGGGGAAGGAGGGGAGGAAAAAAAAGACCTTTGCATTCAGAAAGAGAGGATTAGGGAAATATTAAAAAAAAACACGGACGAAACCAATCAAAGACAAAAAGAAGTCAGAGAAAATATTGAAAATGAAATTAAAGGGAATGGTTCCTTGAAAAAAAAGGAAATCAAAGAAATAATTGAAAAGGCTAGTGTAGGAGGACGGAGAATTGACCAACAGACTGATTTCGAATTTGAGTTTAATTTCTTTGGCTTACGCTGATTTAAAACCGATAATTTAACTATTTGGTGATTTATTACTTATTCACTAATTCTAATTTTGGTGGTAAAAGCCCTTTTTTCCGTGCTTCATTACTACTGAATGAATTATGCTTATGACAGTGTAGAACGGGAATTAAAAAAGGATTTATTTCGTCATTTTGTGCGGGCTAAATATACTAACTCTTCCGAAGTTTCCCGAAATTTAATTACCCAATTTACCGATGATTTGGATGAAATTGCGTATAGTATCTGGTTTATTCCTAACCGTTTAATTTATGTAGTATTCACTATCTTTTTCTTGCTTACCTTTGACTTTAATTTTGGAGGAAAAGGAACCACCCTGCCACTCTTGGCAATTATGTTAGGTTTGTTTGCGATATTGTTTGTGGTGGAAATGATGCTCTTCAAAAGAGCCAGCAAATTAAATCTAGCGGCCAAAAAAAGGCAAGAAGAAGACAATAAAATCATTTACGAACGAATTAATAATTTAGAGTATATTAAGGCAGTTTCGGGAGAAAGTTATGAAGAGGAAAAGGTTAGTCGCCAGTTGGATTCAACTTTTCGCCAGAACAAAAAATCACTTTGGTATAGCACCATGTTTAAGGCAATTCCTCAATATGTAGTTATTCCCAACATCCCCATTATTTTTATGGCCTTAACCCTAGTTTTTTACTCCTCAAATCCAAAAATGGGTTCAGTATTCCTAATTGCTAATTTTGTTCGATACTTTTTTTCAGTAAGAAGTCTAAATAATGAAATTAATAAAATAATTGAGGCCATGTTAACACTGGATGAACTTTCTAGTAGTCTAACCATTGTGAATGAGAGTGCCAAGGTTTTAAATCGTCAAATTATTTCGGCTGAACCAAGCACCCCTATTTCAAGTCTTCCGTTCAAGAATGGTGATTTAATTTTTCAAGCGGTAGTGTTTGCCTATCCTAAACGACCACAACAAAATATTTTACGAAATTTTTCTTTCACTTTTCAACAAGGTAAAATTTATGGTATTGCCGGAAAAAATGGGATTGGGAAAAGCACTATCACCAAAACCACTCTCAAACTTTATGAATTAAAAAAGGGGCAGATTCTTATCGGAGAACACAATATCCGTGAAATAGATACTATTAGCCTCCACCAACACATTTGCTACCAAACTAACCGTCCGACCTTTTTTCGAATGAGTATCGCCGAAAATGTTTATTATCCTAATAAATACGATAAAAAAGACTATGATAAATTAGTGCGAGCGGCCAAAAAAGTTGGGATTTATGAGTTTATTACTAAGTTGCCACAGGGATTTGATACGGTATTAAGGGAAGGGGGCAGCGACCTTTCAGAGGGGCAAAAACAACAAATCTCGGCCATGAAAATGTTTATCAATGAGTATGATATTTACATTTTGGATGAGATATTAAGCAATGTGCATCCTAATTTAAAAGAGAAAATCCTACAGAATATTTTTGCTAAGTTAAAAGACAAGACGGTGTTAGTAATTGACCACCATTACGAAATATTTCAATATGTTGGTTATGTTTATCAATTCACGGGTGAAAAATTAATTAAAATGGATAAAAGGGGGTTTTTAGAAAATAACTAAGAACGAAAAAAATATGAACCTTAGAAGATAAAATTGTAAAAATGGGGAGAATACCCTTGTTAAAAAGGGTTTAAAATTAACTTAATAATTAGGAGTTTCCGCGATAAGGATTTATAGAAATCTTTTGACTAAGCAAAGGCAAAGTTCATGTTAAATGTGTTCCCTCGCAATTAAGAAAAGCCGCTTATCGGAAATTAAGAGAACTGAATAACGCCCAAGATACCCGAGACTTGCGAAAAACCCCCAGCAACCATTTTGAAAAACTAACTGGTAAGCAACACTTCGGCTATTCCAGCATTCGGATTAACGACCAATACCGCTTAATTTTTCTGTGACAGAATAACTATGCTTACGAAGTAGAAATTAACAAACATGATAAAAAGTATTAATATGAACCGAGACCGAGAAGCAATAATAGTTCACCCCGGAGAAGTATTGAGGGAGGATTTTTTACTTCCTTTGAAACTAACGCCAGAAAAGTTGGCTAAAAGCATTAAGATTAAACCACAAATAATTCAAGACATAATTGCCGAAAAACGCGACTTGGATAAAGATTTAGCCACCCGTTTGGCTCTTTATTTTGATATGAGCACCGAATTCTGATTAGGTATTCAGCATGATTACGAGCAAGATTGTATTGAAAACCTGCGAATCAATTTGAGTAAGGAAATTACTCTATTACGGGTTAGTAAGTAATTTTTGCCCGACCAGTAATTAAGCACAAAAAAAATATGAGCCTCTTAGGAGATAAAAATGTAAAATAAAAAGTATAGAAAATAATTTTATAAATATTATGGTAGAAAATCAAAAAAAATTACTCGCTCAGCAAATTAAGGCTGATTTAGCAAAAGATTTAGTGGAAGCCAAAAAGGAGGAAAAGAGCAAAAATGGATTTGGAAGGTGTAGTTGGTCAATAACACTGGGGGAAGATTGTAGCGAATGCCGAGGGAACGAATGACGATTAACTTATTTTGGTTCTCTCAAAACCGATGCTGGTAAAAAATGAAAAGAAAGAGGCATACATGGAAGAGGTTGAATCAATGTTTTTTCTGAGGAATTAGAACCTAACGATTGGAAAGAAATTGAGGGTTTAATTCAGCAAATCAAAGAGTTAGAAAAGCAAAAGGAAAACAAAGAAACCCAAAAATATCAAGAGGAACAAGCAGAAATTAACCAAAAGTTAAGCAGTAATCCCAAAATGTTTTTCTATGAGGGTAAGCAAGAATGAACAGATGATAGCCCTAAGGGTTATGGCGTTTATCATGGTTTTCGTGGTTGAGAGAATAACCAAACTTTTTTGCTAGGTGTTTCTGAAAACCAGGTAGTAAACTTGTCAAGGTGAAAGTCAGGGAAAGTTTTTTGTTTGATTGAAGGAGTCGAAAATGTGCCCTTTGAACAAAAAGAACTCCGAAAAATAGTAAAGTCATCAGATAAAATTACCATTACTCCGGTTGATAATAGTCCTTATATAAACGAACTCCAAACCGGCAAAACTAATAGCGAGCGATATTTAAAGAAAATCCAAAAAGAAGATCCAGACTACCTTGAAGGCATTGCTGATACTAAAAAAAGAATTAGTGAATGCGAGAAGGAAATTCAAGAGGAAAAAAAATGATTAGTTGAACACGGTAATAAATTGCCTGCTCCTCTGAAAAACGGAAATAAGCCAACTGATAAAGTTTCTAAACTCCTATCAGGAGAATTAAATGAAAAAAATTTACTTCAATACTTTCAAAAGAATAACGTTAAATCAATTAAATTAGATAATAATAACCTAGTAATTGAATATAATAGCAAGCGAGAAAAAGAAACTAAGGCAATAAATAACCAAGAACGAGAACAAATAAAATCTCTTGCTGAAAAGTTAGGCAAAGGTGAATTATTTTTAAGTGATTTAGAACAGGTTAGTAATTCAACTAATACTCCTAACTCTAATCAAGGACTTTATATTGGTTTAGCAGTAGTGGGAGTGGTAGCAGTGGGAATAATTGCTTTCTTACTGATAAGGAAAAATAAAACTAAAAAACATTAATTTCCTTTCACAATTTGCATTATAACTAAAACCGCTATTAAAATAATAATTGAAGAAATAATGGCGGAGAAAATGTAAAGTGGAAGAATATTATTGCATCCTCCTTGACTTATTTTAGATATATTACGACTTTTCATAATTAAGTTTTAATTCTCTTTTGATCGTAGTGATTTTTTTCTCTGCTAAACTTTTCAGATATTTATTATTTTTTTCGAGCATTTCGCTAATTTTAGGAAGATAAGCATTATAATTTTTTTGAATTAGAGTTAATTTTTCATTTACTATTTCGGCAACTTTTTCTTTAAATTCAGAATAATTTAATTTATTCATTTCTTTTTCTACTTCTCTTATTTCTTTATCTTGCAGGAGGGCACAAATAGTTAAGAGATTAGAAATTCATTTTTTATCTTCTTTGTCGGGGTCATAATAAACTTTGCCCTCACTGTCAGTTTTAGCTTTTTTAAATTTTTCTTTTACTACTTCAGGTGTATCTAAAAGTCCAATGTAGTCATTTTCACTTTTACTCATTTTTTTGGTTGGGTCTTTTAATCCCATAATTTTTGCCCCCAAGTTAGGAATAGCAAATTCCGGGATTTTTAATAATTCTTTTTCATAAAAATTATTGAACTTTTGGGCGATGTCGCTAGTTAATTCTAAGTGTTGTTTTTGGTCTTGTCCGACAATAACCAAATCGGCGTCATAAAGAAAAATATCCGCTGCCATTAAAACAGGATAGGATAACAAAGCTAAATTACCAGTTTCTTGCTCTCTTTTTTTTTCTTTATATTGAATCATGTTGTTTAATTCGCTAATGGTTACAAAAG